GGAGGCTTTCACAGTAAATCTCTCTGTAATCTGCTTGAAACAAATTGATTAGACGGCGCAAAGCCTTTGTCTGCCATGGCTTACTGTTTTGTTGCATTAGTTGAGCTGAACTAAACTATGTTTGGCAGTGGACCCGGCACACTTTGGTGTCAGAACCCCTGCTGGGCCAATAAAGTGCTTTATTAAACAGAAAGATGCTGCTGCACAAAGCCGTGCTGTCCGTTTCTCCTAGGGAGCTTTAAGGATTTATAAAAAGTGCAGAAACAGGAGGAATATAAAAGGTTTGTAGGGAAGCGGTAATTATTTACAGTCAAAACCAGAAATTTACCTACACCGAATAAAAAGACAGACTTTTTTTTCTTACTGTCTGAAGTTAAACATCTCTTTGTTTTAGGTTAGTTAAAGTTACCAACATGATTTCTATTTGCTACTGCCACAATAACGAGAGAGAAAATACGTCAAAGATTAATTCATTAATGGCTTTGAAATCAGAAGTTTACACGGCGAATGATCACTGCCTCTTTAAACAATGAGGAAAACCTCTGATGATGTCATGGATGTGGACTCTTCTGATTGGTTAACTGACTCACACCAATTGAGGTCACACCTGGAACGCTCTGCTGAAAGCGACATGAAGATCACGTTGCTTTATATTAAATGTGTTTTACTCATAAACCCAAAACACATTTAGAGATATTTCAGCCAGATAAAGATCCCAAAGACACCAGTAAAAAAGATTAATGTTATGGAGCCGCCAGTCCAATTCCTCAGCCTTATTCCAGTGGAAACTATTTGTGGTGACATTAAAGATGTTTCAGAGACTAAACCGAGAAATCCACAGGAACTGGTGAATATAATCCAGTTGTCCTGCTCACAGGTTGTGCAGCCCGGTCGACTCCACACCACACAGATGTGAAGCAGTTTAAAGAAATGGTCTTTTTCCAACTAAATATTGTTCGATAATTCACCAGAAAGCTACAATTTATCTTGAATATAATTTTTTTTAAGGAAGTAAAATTGATATTCAGTTTTTCTCACTTTTTGCAGATTGATAACAAATTTGATTTAAATCTGGAGCTGCAGTGTCTGTAATGGGTTTCTTTTATTTTGAGTACAACTGCGGCTCCACAGATAACAGGATTATACTATCAACTCAAAACATTGAAGCCATGATTATGGACATTACATTTCAAACTGTTTTTGCTTTAATAATCATGAGGTCAATATCAGCAGGTTGTGTTTACAGTCTTGTACCCTGATTGTGAAATTTCCAACATTTACAAATCCAGGATTTCCCATGACCGATGGAAGTTAAAAGCTCCAATGTTCAGATGGGAGAAACATTTTTGTTGCATTCTGTTCAACTTCCACACCTGAAATTTGACTTTGTTTCTGAGAAATACATTTTTTCTTGTAGCTTCTTAAACATTTCCTGCTTTGTCCGACATTAATTAAACTTCTTTCTAACTGAGCATTTTCTCTCAAAAACCATTTCAACAGAGAAGTCTGTTTACTCGTTACCTGTTAAGAAGACAATATGTGATTTGTTTTAGTTTGAATCAGCAAATTCATGTGATCATTCGGCCCATCTTTAAAGTGTATCTTTGTTTTGTTTCTCAGGTGTATTCTTCCGTCTACTTCTGTGGTCACCTGTTCTTCCTCGTGGCTTATTTAATTCTGCCATTCCTACGTATAACTCTGGTGCCTAAGAAGGACCGGAGAGAGAAGAAACAAGACTGAAACCTGGTTCTGACACCTGGAAAGGTGAGGGATCACATTTTCACCTTTTCAATCTGCTTTTTTTTTTAAAATTAATCCAGAGTGAACTAACTCCGTTTTCCTTCCAAGTCCGTTCAAGGCTGAAATTCCTCGACCCTGGGAGGAAACTGTGGCGTTTGGGGAGCAGAACACAAACTATTGTAAGGCCTTTAGTAATATATAAATATGAATATATGTTGATGTAAAAACAAATTTCTATATATTTTTGTGTTTTTAAGTGGGAGGGGTGGTTTTTATAAACATTTTGAGAAAATGTTTACAGGAAATTACCATTGTGCCACACGGGGTAATTGTGAACCAATCAGGGACAGTTTCCTGCTTGTTTGTCGTTATCACTTTCTTCTTTCTTTGTGGGAATTTTTAATACTTGTGGAACCGACGAGACTTTTCATGCTGTCGACACAGGATTGCACTTATGAGTCACAGGTTCTGTTTTTAGGCTCCTGTGTTTTTGTCGTTTCGTCGCCCCGTGTCTGGCGCCCGCTTTCAGCAGCAGCAGCAGCACTAAAACCAAACAGAAGGTTTAAGCACAGTGCCGCCATTTATATATGAATATAAATATATGTATACATAACACTTCCTGATGTCATGACACAACATGCACACGTTTCTGCAGAAAGGCTGAGGCGATGATGGGCTTGTTTTCTCTGCAAATGGCTGCTAGTGGTTATACAAGCACTGTAAAATCACACACTGTACAACTAAAACCTGACTCTAAATGGCCTTGATTCAATGAATGTTTGTTCTGGATTTAATTTGATTTGTAATTGAAAAATATTAGGAGTTTTTGAACATGAACATTTCGTCGTTTTTTTTTTTTGTTTGTTTTTTCTATAAGATGCATAATTTGCCTGCCTTTCAGCTAAACCTCACTTTTAAATACACAAATGTGAAAATGAATCACACTCAGTGGTGCTGGTCCCTCTGTCCACTCCAATCTGTGTGATTAGGGGCCATACGCTGTGTTTTTTGTTTTTTATATTATTAAACATGCGGTGGCTATGATTTCCACTACAGCCTGCCCCGGTGTTTCTAACAGCAGGCTGTAATTAATCAGAGTGAAAGATCAGAACCCAAATGCCTCGTTGTAATGTGTACATTTCTGGGTAAGGGTGAAATTTGCTGCTGCTGCCGCCGCCGTCCTTTCACAAACTCGAGGACAAACCTCACTGTAGCAATGGCCCAGATTCCAGTAATATTTATACAGAACATGCTGATTATTAATTGATGACTTGCTATTTCAAGAGGCTTGGGGTTTCTTGCCTTATCTGAAGCAAATGTACAAAAACGAAAAACGTCGGGATGTGAGAGGTGGATGTGATTTGAAATATACTTTTGTAATGTTTAATAAAATGCTGCATTTTAAGCAAGTTCTCTGCAGTTTATTTATGAGCTTTAGAAATAATGAACATCCTGTGTTAGCAGATGTGCTCCGGGAATAAAACACAGCTGGATTTTTATTGCACGATTATACAAAGTACAACTTGAAAAGAAATGAAGACTGAAGAAAATCTGAAGCATTTGAGTTTTTGAGCAGCAAGAGTTCTTCCGTTTTCCTGTCTGATTTACTTTTATATTACTTTTGTTTTTACCTTGTGGATTAATTTTATTATTTCTTTATCTTGTTTTCAGATGCGAGGGATTTAAATTGTTAAAATCGGTCCAACTATTTCTATAATCTGCTTTGTACGTTTATGTCTTATTTTGTTTGTATCTTGAAGTTGCTGCACTTCTGCTCTCAAAGAATTTCCCTGAGGGAACAATTAAATATTTCTTATTTTACTTTCACAAGTGGAGCATCACAGCTTTAACCTTGACACTCCACTTGTGTGTGTGTGTATGTATGTATGTATATATATATATATATATATATATATATATATATATATATAAGTTTATTAGAAATTAGTTTGGGTTTATTTAAAATATAATGGGCACAGAAATAAAAATAAGAAAAGGGAGGTGGGGAAATATTTAAAGTGAGAGAAGAAGATGGGAGTCTGCCTCTAAACTTGCAGAAAGAGGACAAAAACAACACAGTATAATAAAGTATCTGACAAACGGCTAAATCTAAACACTTGAAAATGTATTTTATTTTTGTATTGTAGTTTCTCAACTCTACTGGGGAAATAATATATATAATATGTGATTTTGTAGACAGTGAAACTAAATTCTGTCCTGGGTTTTAACAAATTAATTCAAAGGAAAAACCTGCAGTGCTCTGCTTTGTTCACCTTAATGAGGAAAATTTCTATCCACTCTTTATAAAATACTTCAAATTCACAGATATAAGGAATCTGTAGTTTGTTTGAAATAAAGATAAACATTTTTCAAGTTTTGCCACAGATTATAAGAAGCTTCATTTCGAACTCATTCTCTCATGTATTTCCTGTCCTTTAGATAATGAGGCTTTTCTTTTACTGTTTTTCTGTAAATGTCAGCTGTGTGACGCTGTGGATCTCTGCAGCTTTTCCTTGCTTACAGTTTTCTGCCTGATCTCTGTTGCGTTTCTTGGTCTTTATGATGCCGTTTATTTTCTAATAAACCTTAAAGGCCTTCCAGATAACCTGGAGTAATTCTTAAATTAAATGACTGATGTTTTGACCAATTATTCAAACCAAATACTTCAGCGAATGAAGCTTGTTTTTTATGGAGTTTTATAAGTTTTGTACTGAGAATTTTATTTTAATTTTTTACATTTTATTTTTATATTTATTTTAAAAATCAAAATTTATTTCGATTTTTTTCTTTTGTTTGATTTTATTTTTGCAACTATGTAATTTATATAAAATATTTTCATTTTGGAATTTAAAAACCAACCTTCCACATCATTTGTCTGTGATTCTGCAATTTTTAAATGTTAAATTATTGTTTGTTTGTTTTTTATCTTTGAGTAGCCTTTTTACCAAATGCTTTTGTACTCTTCAGTTGTTTCTACTTTTTACTTTTACTTTTGAGTAAAAATATGTTGAGGTTTTCTACTTTACCTTGACTATAAGTGATTTATTTAGGGGTATCAGAATAAAGAGGTTGGGCTTTGAATGCACGCCAGTCTCATCTTGAGGCAGCACCGTGACAAAATGTGGGAATGCTCCATCATTTTTGCAAAACACTGCAGGTGCAAAAACAAAATGCATCTAGAGTGGATCCGTTTGTTTTTACAGAATTAGCCTTGGCACGAGGGCGAATCGGGGTGCCATGACGTCATTTTGCAGAGAGGAACCGACTGAGTGAGCAGCGTGAAACGCGTGGAAACGGATGAAAACACGCACAAACAAACGAAGGGGGGAAAAAAAAACGAGGAGGCGGACGAGTCAATCTGCGCGGCTTGAGCTGACAGCTGTGAGGTGACGGCGGGACTGAGTCTCTGCTGCGTTTGGAGCCTGAGTCAGAGTGGAGGAGAAAAGAGCCAGGGAAGAAGGACGCAGTGTGGGCGGGTTAAGAAACGCCGAGAGGGAGGGCACGTCAGCGTAACATTCCCACCGCTTTTCTTCTTCCTGCCGAGTGGGAAAAAACAAGGACGTCCGCCGCTTTCCTCTTCCTCCCCACATTTCATCCCTGATAACCCCACCTGAGCGTCCTTTCTCGAACAGCTTCCGGCCGCTTCCGTCTCCATCCACCCGCACCTCGGAGGCTGAGCTCTGGGTTTGTTGTCAGCCTCCGGGAGACGAGCTGATCTGAACCGAACCGAGCGTTAGGGGCGTGAGAGGCGGATGCTGCGAGCGTAGAGGCAGGGTACCAACCAGGAGCATCACCGCACTCTGAACGGTAATATCCCACATTTTTTTCCTGCATTGTAACCCACCATTTCTGCGGCGTTTCCTCCTAAATGCCGCTTTACGCATCCACGTACGCCCCTTGGAAATGTGTGTCAGATAATTGTCGCATAGCATGTTTGTTATTCTGAATGTGTGTAGTCATCTTTACATTAAAAAAACACACAAAATTAGATTATTTATCATGTTCGCAAGCCTGAATGTTCCCATCAGTCTAAACAAACCATGAGGGGTAACCGTGATAAAACACGCAGCCCTGCCACATGCAGAACGTTCCCCACTCATGACCAGGAATATATATGTCTGTGTGTGTGATACTATTCTGGGCTGCATGTCAGGGCGGCATAATGCTGAAATTCTCCTGGATTACAGCTCCAGTCATGCAACTCTGAATTTAGTTTTTCAGCTCTCACTTTAATGGTGATTTATTGGACAGACAACAGCAATGTGAAACCCCCTCCGTCCCCCCAAAGTGCCATCTGAAATGCCTGATCTGCTTGTTGCTACTGTACTGTCCCCTCCACTGCTGATCTGTTGTTGATGCATGAACTGTACCCCTCCTTCTCTCCCTTCCTCCTCCTCATCCTCTTCTCTATTCTCCTTCCTCACCCCCACCCTCTTATCCTCCCCTCTTTCCTCCTTCAGATGGACAGAATGAATTTTCTCTCCTTCCTCCTCCTTTGCTTGACTTCGGTTGCCAATTGCAACAAAGGTCAGTTTCAATTCCTTTTTTTCTGTTTCTGTTTTTGACTGTGAAGTGTGGGAATGAAGGTTTTGCATTGCCATAGAAACACACAGACCTGTCAAGTGGGGTAGGGGGTATTTTTCCAAGCAGAGCCATGAACCCGGCGACTTACTCATGTATAGCTTCAATTCCTCATGCATAACCAGGTGCATACATAAACATCTTTGCATCTCCTGCATGTGCCCTTTCCGTCTGCTGTGTGATTCGGAGATGATGGATCCGCTTCCCAGATTTCTCATGGAGTCTGATTCAGGATCATTGTTTCGCTAGCTGCGTTTCCATTAACCATAAAATTGCACAAATTAAAAGTATACTAATAAATTCGCTTAATAGAAATACGCCAATTAAAAAAAAAAACTCACGCAAAATATTTTTGCGCTAGGATGAGGTGGTTTTCCAGCCTTGTGGAAATGGTTCTATTACCCAAAACTGCAATAGAAACATTTTTTTTCCTGTCATTCAAGACATGTGATCAACAGCCGGATGTTACTACTGGTGAAAATGTCGAAGAAGACGACAGGAAGTAGTAGGAGGATGATGGTGCTGCACCTTTTTAAAAAACAATTAACAGTTAAGATAATTCATATGGGATTTTAATTTAATTTCTTACTTAATGAAAACACTGCACATTTGCAAATTTTTTTTTTTTTTTTTTTTTTTTTTTTTGGTTTTTTTCAACACACAAAATTTTCAAAAAAATTTTCC